TATTTACACACTTTGGTGTCTTGGCAGCTAATAGTGCTCTAGCTATTACTCTGTGAGAGGGCAAGTGTCTGACTTCCAGTGTTGGCAATGTCAGTTAAATAACTTTTGAACTGTTGGTTAAATAACCAGTTCAAAAGTTAAATAACTGGTTCAAAAAAACTTTTGAACTTTTGAACTTTCATTCAATAAAATTATATGACAAACAATTTATAATTCAAAATTTATTATATATATCTATATAAAATATATTACTTCAAACATTAGTTTTTGTCTATTATTATAACATTTCATAATAAAAAGGAGGTTCCAAATCTTCTACAAATAAATTTTCCATTTTCCATTTAGCATTTTGATCATCTGCTGGATGTGTTTTTTGTAAAATATTTGGATCACTCAATGGAGAATTATTTGAAATTTCATGAAAATTGATAAAATTATTTGAATTACTACTATTATCTTCCAATATATCAAATTCTTCTTCTTCTGTCATTTCAACCCAACTTGATATCAAATTTTTCCAATCTTCCTCATTTTCAACATTTCTACCAATTGATTGATCTTCAAGATCATAATCATCATCACTACCATCATTGTAATCATCATCTAATACTGGCATAGTTATTCCACTTTCTTCAAATGGTAAAGCACTCTCAGAATGATAATGATCAAAAAATTTTTGCAATTCTTTAATTTTTTGCTCATAGATTAATTTAGCTTTGATTTGAGACATTGCCAAAACCTTTTTATACTGAAAAAAATATTAATCAATTTGATAATCTTATTATTGTAATAACAAAATATTAGCAAAAAATTCAAACTTAAACTTACATTCAATCTATTTCTTCTTTTATTATGAAAAAACCCCATTGAACTAAATAATCTTTCTGTTGATGCAGAGTTAATGCAAATTGCAAAAATATGCAATGCCAATGATGATAATTCTTTTGATCCTTGATTAATAAATTTCCAATATTTGATAACATCACCATTGAAATTTGAAAAAGATTTATCATCAAAAGGATAATTTTCTTCTATCCAATTTGTTAACTCTAATAAAATATTCGAAGGATTTTTTTTAAAGAATGCAAGATAGTAATATGTTATCCATTGACCAAAAACAGTTAAATCCAAATTAATATTATTTAATTTAAATTTTTTTAGTCTATGTTGTGGATGAAGTAAAAATGAAATCAAAAATAAAGGTTGTTCTAATTGATTCCATCGTTTTTCTAATCTGTCAATCATCATGACCTTAAAATTTTCATCAGGATATAATTTAACTATTTTCATTATGTATGCAAATCCATGCATAATATCATATAGTTTAGCTGTATCTTTTTGTAATTGATTTAAGATTGCACTTATTGGATGTAATAAAATAGTCAATTGTTCTAAATTTCGCCACCAACCTTCACTTTCAATGATGTTGACCATTTCTTCAGATAAATTCCTTGCTTCATGATCATCAGATAAACTATTTTTATTAACAAGTGTCTTAAAAAAAAAAAAAAAATATATATATATATATATATATATACATATATTAATAACATATCAAAAAAAAAAAAACCCCCCATATTTAAAAATACACTTAGTTATACCTTCAATGGTATTTTGGATCTAACAAGACTTTTAAAACAATAATAGTGACTACACCACCTTGTATCATTTGGTTGAACTAATGCCCAATATTTTTGATAACATATCTTCTGTTCATCTCGAAGCTTTGAATAAAAATACGTTGATCTATTGAAAAATGAAACAATTTTTACAGCTAATGTTGATGTTTCTTTAAAAGCATTTGAGGATTTAAACACATCTCCCATAATCAAGTTCAATTGATGGGCAAAACAAGGAAGGAATGTTATTTCTCGATATTTTTTTCTAAGTCTTTTTCTATTTAATAATATTGAAAATTTTTTAATCATAAAATTTTAGTAAAGTAAAAAAAATAAAATTTACCACAAACCTTGCTGCAACATTCTCTGATGCTGAATCTGTTACCAAGCTCAGGATCTTAATTTCTTGGGTTCTTAATTCTTCAAATAAATCAGTTGCATATTTATAAACAACATTCCAGTTCTGAAGGTCACCACTTATGTCTTTAACATCCCAAATAAGATTTTTTCCACATGAAGTAATTAACACAACACCTAATAATTTCTGATGAACAATGTTTTTCCAACCGTCAAATGTTAAAGTTATGCCAAACTTATCACTCTTTGCTGATTTATATAAATCATCCTTAATTTCTTTGCTTTTTTCAGATAAAATTTTACCACTCAATTGTTTTCTTGATGGCAATTTAAGAGTTGAATTTGCAATACAAAATGCTTCTTTTATATTTGTATCTTCCACCCATCTGAAAGCCCATCCATTTGAAATTGTTGCGTTAAAAATAGATTTTATAAATTTTTCTTGTTTATTTTTTACTGTTGCTTTATTTATATAATTAGTAAGTTTTCCAGAATTAACCTTTTTCATTTGTTTTACATTTGAATTGTTATCATCCGCATCTACAAAAATCATAATTAACATTAAATATAAATTAAAATTAACTTTATAAAAATATAAAATTTTATTTACCATCTTGAATTAAAACAATTTCTTCTTCATTCAATAATGCAACAGGATTAGAAGTAGATGACTTATCAAGGTTGATTATTCGTTGGTATTCAGCTTCACCAATTTCTTCTTTAAAATGTTTGCAATGTTTTAAATGATTTAGACATGTTTCTTTTTTATTAGTAAAATAAAGGTCTTCAATAGGTTTATTAGGATTTGCTTTAATACAAGATCTACAGGCAGCCCCTTTATGTGTAGAATTCACTTTTTCTATCGAAAGTCTAAACCAAGGTGTAAATAAATGCTGCTTCTTTCCCATATTTAATATATGTTAAAGTTGTGGGAAAAACAACTGTAAATAACTTGGATCGGTTATTTAACTCACAGATCGGTTATTTAACTCACAGATCGGTTATTTAACTCACAAATTAAGTTATTTAACTGATTTTTATTGTTAAATAACTGATCTGCAAGTTAAATAAAATCATTTAGTTATTTAACTAATTAACTGGTTATTTAACCAATTATCAGTTCAAAAGTTCAAATGGTTCAAAAAAAGATTTGAAC